ATCCGAAAACTGGCTAGACCGTGCTATTTTTACGGCAATCAGATCTACGGGCCAGGCCTGTGAGAGTAGTGGATCTTGCTTTCTTGGGCTCTTGCTGTTTGGTGATTTTGCAGGTTTCACGGATGTGGCAATCAGATCTGGTCTTAGATAAAAAAGACTATAGAAGTAAAGTGAAATAAGTCGCGCTAATTTGTATGAGTGGGCTTGGTGTTTGTCCTTTCCTTTTCCATTATTCCAGTTGTCCGTGCCAATGAGATAGTTACCAAAGTTTGAGGACTTGACATGGAATTTAGTTTAGAGAGATGGAAATAAGATTAGAGTTATTAACTGGGTCCTAAATTTAGTAAATGTACATATTTAATACAATAATATTGTTTGAGCAAAAGAGCTGGTTGGATCGACCGAACCCACAAACTCCGCCCCTGCTCTTCAATTACGAGTTTATAGATTCATAACAAGTTCTATATTACTGCCAATTCGTTACCAATATAGATGAGGTGTAGTCACGCTTAACAATTTAAATTACGTATAAGGTTTATATTAAGTTCACATGGAGGATTATTTCCTAGCATGCAGTACTATTGTGTTGCATTTGTGGCAAGTTATGGCTCTTTGTCTAAAGAGGTGTTTAGCTCGAAAGTAATATTATTCTCGCCCTTCATTATACTCGAGTTTTGAATCTAAAAGTGAACATCACTGAACCAAACATGAAGAGACTAAGAGTGGTTCGTTCAATAGCTAAATATAAGTATATAAACGTATTTCTGTACATACTACAACAACAACTACTAACACCTCAATCCTAAGCAAATTAGGGGCGGCTATATAAATTATCATTCTTTTCGTTTATGTCAATTCATCATCTGTATTATGAGGATTCACTATGAATTGACAAGTTTTACGCTGACTGTCAGTCTATCGCAATCCTACTCCTTTATTCAGGTTTGAGACCGACATTATGAATAAACTCACACTGACGGAATTAAACGTATTTCCGTACTTCATGAGCGCAAATTCCAATCCACCTAACTCCTTGGCGCTGAACTATATATTACGAAGTCTTAGAAGGTCTTTGAACACCTTGAACGTCTTGCGAATTATTGATTTTATAGCCTTGGAACTTGGAAGCAGAGGTAATTTAGGAATTGACCATAACGAACTCGGGTTCGGAATAATAGCGTATTATATTTAATTTATTGCGTTTGAAATCTATTATTTGTTTTTCTTTAATTCAGTGATTTTTGATACATCCGTGTTTGAGCCACCACGGAAGAAACTCAGTTTAGTTGGTCATAAATACTATATTTGAGTTTTTGCAAATAGAATATCGGTTTAAATGTGCATTTCGAGTGAAATGCTGGTTAATTTTCACTTGCAAATCCTTTCAACTTCAATTTCAAATGTTTTTTTTTTCCTCAACTTCAACTCAAATATTGTCCAGATGCTTACTCTTCACAAACTTGTACTAGTTGTTTTCAACCTCAAACGCTTGCGAATTTTCACTTTAGTTAAAAAGGCAATTTTAGCGCAGATAATCAGAATATGTAACAAGAAAGAGATGAACTAGAAGTGAATATATGATAGGAATTCTTGAGATTCTCCACCCAAAAATATGCTTTTCTTTTTTTCTAAACCCAAAATATATTCTATATGCCCCTTTTTTGGTCCCAAGAGCTAAATGCTGGCATTCAATTTTATTTTCCTTGAATATTCTCGTGGATTGTTTTAAAAGAATGAAAGTGACAAACTGTTTTGTTTGACTTTAGAGATAGGTACCAAAATTCTTTACTCTTTATCTTTTTATCAGTTTGTGCACTTTCAAAGAACAACATTATTTCAGGTGTGGAATTTAGTGTTGAGGAGGTAAACATTTTTCTAAAGCTGATTTTATATCAAATCAGCAAATCTTAGACCTTTGAGCTATTGAATTATTGTGGTTTTGCATGATTAAATAGATGTATACCAAAACCATCTAAGCTTGGAAAATTCATGAATTCTTGCCTAACTAATTACTCTGTTAAAAGGAGTACTATGTTTTATGTCAGGTAGGTATAGAAGATATTTTATTATTTATTTTGTTTAAGAAAACTGCTTTAAAAGGGGTCCTATATATTTTCCTTTTTTTTTTTTTGCCAGTTTTAATAAATTATATTAACATCATAAAGACAGCAAGGAATGAGCTACTATATTATTATTTTTTTGTTTAGAACCCGTTTGGACATTAGAAATTTTTTCCTTTTTTTCAAAAAATTTTGACTTTTTTCTGAAATCAGCGTTTGTTCATACAATTTTCATTTTTTACTTGAAGATGCATTTTGAAAATTTTCGAAAATTTGCGAATAACCTGTTTATCAAAACTTTCACTCAACAAAACTTCAAAAACAACCCAAAATTATATTCATGTCCAAACACAACTCAAAATTTCAAATACCATTTTCACTTGGAAAAAATTTTCACCCTTTCTTGGAATTTTACAATTCTTAGGTCCAACCGCCCACTTAGTATGAACAAAATAACATCCGCGTGTTAGATCACTGGTTTTATAGTTTATACGAAAAAAAATTATCTCAATTATAATATGGGTCTCATCGAGTAACTATTTTTTCTAAAAATGCTCGAAAACTGTAATTTCTTAAATTTGCAATACTCTCCTCCCTTTCACGTTTTAATTAATTTCTGCGAAGGACTATTTGAGAACTGAGTCACCGCGATTAGATTTTTTATATGCTTGTGTAATCTTGTCTTAGTTTAACTCATATTATTAAGATATTTACCGACTCAACTAAATCAATTTCTGGATCTCTAATAAAGGCTAAACGAATCTCAATCATCTCATTACACCCTTTCGTTGTTAAGAAATTATTTTATAATCTGCGTTGCCATGAATATCACCACATACCAATACGTCATGCACCTTTTCTTTTCATTTATTTATTTATTTATGAAAGATCCTTTTTTTTCCTTTTCATTTTGTGTATATGCTGCTTGTCATAAAGTCGGGCTAGTTCCACAGCATCACGTCAATATTGGCCGGCAATGTAAAGTACGAATAATTCTATCTTTCTATAATTCATCACCGTCCATAAAACAACATTCGTTCTGCTTCATCTTCTTCTTCTTTTCTTTTTTAAATTTCTTTTTCTTTCTTTATCCTATTTTCATAATAATACCTTAAAAGACTTTGAGAAGTAGCACTTTCCCATTCCAATTGGGCGTTGCTGGTTGTTGACTGCCATAGAAATGGCATTTGAGCTGGAGCAGAGATGATCTTGAAAGAAAGAGTCTAATCTGAGAGAATATGATTCAGTGAAATAACAAACTGAAATTTGTATATTCAATGACTGTACACTACGTATATATACATCTCATCTACCGTGCTAACTAACTTCTAGAATCTTCTAACTAACCGACTAACTGATGAACTTAATTAACTAACTGAATAATATTAACAAACTAACTACTGCTAACTTGACTCTAGTTACATTAGCTTGTTAGCTTAAACCATGGTCAACACTCGCCCTCAAGCTGATAGTTGAATACACATTCTTCACTCCAAGTCTTTGAAGTAAGTAATCATGTTGTGCCTTTCCCAAACCTTTTGTAAGAATATCTGCTAGTTGCTCGTTGGTTGACACATGCTCAGTTTGTATCAGACCTTGTATTATTCTTTCTCTTACAAAGTGACAGTCTATGTGTTTTGTCCTTTCATGGAAGATGAGGTTGGCTGCAATTTGGATTGCAGCCTTGCTATCACACATTAATTAGCTTCACTGGCATATGTGTTTCAACTCCTAGTTCTTTGAACATGCCCACTAACAAGATAATCTCAGCTATGCAAGATGCCATGCTTCTTAACTCAGCTTCAGTAGAGCTTCTTGACATTGTCCCTTGCTTCTTTGACTTCCATGAGATTAGAGCATCTCCAAACTTTACTAAGTACCATGTAACTGACTTTCTAGTTTGTACACAAGCCCCCCAATCTGAGTCACAGTTACTGATTAGTGTTCTGAGCAGACATGAACAAGCCTAGGGTGCCTCTTTGACATATCTCACCACTCTAAGGGTAGCTTTGATGTGTGAGATCTTTGGTCTATGCATAAACTGACTTAGTACTTGGAAAACAAATCCTAAATTAGGCCGAGTCATAGTGAGATGGAGTAATCTTCCCACAAGTCTCTGATATGGCCCTGGATCCTTGAGGAGATCCTCTTGAGTACCCTTCTGAATTCACTTGTCATATTCCTCAAAAGTGATATTTTGGTTGAACTCTAGGGGCGTACCTGCAGGTTTTGCTCCCCCAGTCCTGATTCGGCAATGAGTTCTAAGGCATACTTTCTTTGGCACATAACAATTCCTTATATGGACCTTGCAAATTCAATGCCAAGAAAGAATCTCAATTCTCCCAAGTCTTTCATTATGAACTTGGTTTGTAATTCTTTCCTTGTCTGAGTTAGCAAATGTTAACCACTACCTGTAATCAATAAGTCATCAACATACACTAGGATTATAGTTATATCACATCCCGCCTTCTTAGTGAATAGAGAATAGTCATAGTGACTTTGCCGAAACTCCATTTGCACTAGAGCTTCTGTCAGCTTTTTGTTCCATTGTCTTGGTGCTTGTTTAATCCCACACAATGACTTATGTAGTTTGCAGACCTTCAAACTCTCCCCCTGTCTGACAAACCATTGAGGAAGCTGCATATATACGTCCTCTAACAAATCACCATTTAGGAAAGCATTATGGACATCCATTTGAAATATGAATTAGTGTTTGGATGCTGAAAGTGCCACTATTGACCTGACTGTCACCATCTTTGCCACAGTTGAGAAGGTCTCTGCATAATCCAGCCCCTACTTTTGATTGTAGCCTTTAGCTACCAATCCCCTGGGGAATGATATTTTATCTTGAATATCCACCTACAACCAATAGGAACCTTGCCAGGAGGTAGGTCCACTACACTCCATGTGTGATTAGCCTCTAGAGCTGCAATTTCAAGTTCATTGCCTCAACACATTTTGGATCCAAAGCAGCCTCTCTGAATGTATGAGGCTCTCTGATAATTGTATATGCTGACAAGGCCTACTTGTAAGGCAGTTTGATATCAACATAAGAAACATAGGAGGAGATAGGATATAGGCAAGAATTGTTCTTGGCAGCAGGAAATAGTCCTGTATCCAAGCAAGTTGCTTCCCTTCTCTAGTGGACCTTCTTAACTCCTGAATAGGTGGAAGTTCAGAAGGCTGGTCTTGAGGCTCTAAGGGTGAAGTAGGAGACTCAGCATGTGGTGAAGAGGCAATATGTTGTTGTTGTTCATTAGGAACAAAAGGAGTGATAGGGTGTAATTCTTGACAAGGAACATAGGGATGTGAGGGAACAACCTGTAAGTAGGCCTCCGCGAATGGTAGCAGGTCAAGGACAGAAAATATAGGGGTACTAGTATCCTTCATATGTTTGAAGGGAAAAAGATGTTCCTGAAATACTGCATGTGTGCTCACAAACAAAGACTTGGTGTACAAACTGTAAAGCTTGTACCCCGAAGAGTATCCTGGAAGGACTGCATGGAGAGCTCTGGGAGCAAACTTATCATTCTCCTTTGGATTGGATGCATAGCATAGACATCCAAAGACTCTAAGGTATGTGAGGGAAGGAGGATGCAAATAAAGCATTTAATAGGGAGATTTGTTATATAATACTCTAGAGGGCAGTCTGTTAATAAGGTAAGCTGCAGTGCTGACACATTCACCCCAGAACTTCAGAGGTACAGTTGCTGGAACCTGAGTGATCTCGCCATTTCAAGGATTGTTCTGTGTTTTCTCTCTACCACTCCATTCTGCTGAAGAGTGTAAACACAGGAACTTTGGTGGATGATTTCAAGAGAAGAGATCAATGCTTTGAATTCAGCACTAAAGAATTCACTCCCATTATCAGTCCAGAGTGTCTTAACGGTAGTAGAAAATGTATTCTACACTATGGCAAAGAAGTTTCTTATAACCACTATAGCATCAGACTTAGAATTTATTAAGAACAACCAAGTATATCTAGTATAGTCATCCACAATAGTAACAAAGTACTTTTTTCCATCATACCTAGGTACCTACAGCAGGGGCGGATGTATAGGTAAAATGGTGGGACATGTGAAGTCATGGTCTCTCTGTAAAATTAAATATTTTATGTACATATTTGGTATAATATTAATTGTTGGCGCCCATCCTCCAAGAAGGCTGAATAGGGCACTTGGTTAAAGGTTGTGTTATTTATTTAGAGGAATAGGGATCAATTCCACTTAATATATTTTTTCCTCCTTTTTTTAGCAGTGCACCCATGTACTAAAAATCTTAGATCTGCCTCTGCCCTATAGGGCCCAAGATATCACAATGTAATAGTTCAAATATTGACTTAGTAGTTGTAGTACTCAATTGAAAGGGTAACTTTGATTGCTTTTCTAGAGGACATATAGTATAATGATATGAATCTACACTTTTCAGTACTCTAGGTGCATCATTCCTTCTGATTACATCAATAGGAGAATGTCCTAATCTGAGATGCCATAGGTGAATCGACTCAAAACTAATAGACTCAGAACTAAGATTAGTTGTGTGTGCACATTTATTTAATAGCTGCACTGATTTCTGGAGTGAGTTCCCTTTTAGCAGATAGAGTCCATACTCTTCCTTACCAATCCCCAGCACCTGACCACTGTAAAGGTCCTGAAATATGCAGTTAGGGAAGAATGCCACTAAGCACTGTAATTCCTTAGTATGTTGAGAGACAGATAAGAGATTGTACTTAAAGTGAGGTATAAATAGTACATCGCTAGTATTCTGATTTTTAAGCACTGTAGTATTTCTTGTATGTGATATTGTCATTACATTTCCTATTGGTAATTGAACTGTGTCTCTTTGATGTTTTGGTAAAACCTGATAATTCTTTAGCATTTGTCGGTTGGCTGTCATATAATTTGAGGCATCTGTGTCTACTATCTAGTTATGATTAAGATACTTGGATAGTAAGTCTATCAGAGTACCTGCAGCCGTTGAAGATGGTGCCTCCTCAGCACTCTTATTGAGCAGTTAAACAATCTGCTGATAATGTTGCTGTGTGAGATAGGTGCAAGTGGTGAAGGATGAGAATAAGTGGTAGATTGAGGCATCATAGGGCATTGAGGCATAATAACAGGCTGAGACACCACAGAGTGATCTCCTCTACCATGTTGAGCTCCAACCTGCATCTGATGCCCTTCTCCTGGTTGATAAACTTCAGCATTAGCATGATTAGAATGTAGGCCAGGTGTTCCTCCTTTCTTCTTAGGTTTGAAGTCAGCTGGATAGCCAATTAACTTATAGCAATTTTCCTTAGTATGTCCTTTGTAGTGACAGTCACACTGTACTTGGCTTCTTCTTTGTTTGAAATTGCCTCTGGAGTTACCAGGGGTTCTCTTACTGTAAAGGGCAGTACATTCCGTTGTCTTAGACACTTGTAATTCTTGGGAGAAATTAGCCAAACTCCTTTGACTTTCCTAATCCACAAGTATAGAATAGGCCTTGTTGATGCTAGGAATTGGGGACATCATTATAATTTGACGTTTGGACTGTGAGTATGACTCATTTAGGCCCATGAGAAATTGCAGAAGCCTGTGTTGTTCAAAGTACTGAACATATTTCTTTGATTCTGGACATGGACAACCAGGGCAGGGCATGAGAGCATCAAACCCATCCCAAAGATCCCTCAGTTTTGAAAAATAATCAGATATGGTCATGATCCCTGGAGTCAAAGTATGAATCTCTCTATGGAGATAGATGACTCTTGAACCATTCACTTTATCAAATCTTTCTTTTAGGTCTTCCCACACTTTGTGAGCATCAGATGTATACACTTCACTACTTAATAGACCCGATCTAACTGCATTCATAATCCATGAGAGAAATACAACATTGACTTTCTCCCATTGATCATACACTTCGGGTGCAAACTTAGATTTAGGGAATCAGTCGTCCACAAAACCTAGTTTACTCTTGCCTAGCAAACCAATCCTCATAGACCTACTCCACAAAGCGTAGTTATCTAATCCAGTTAATTGGAGAGAAATTAGAGTACTACCTGAAGTATGTTGGTTGAAGGAAGAGTAGATGATTGTGATCAATTATGGGAATATTGATAGTGCTAGCCGTGCCATTGCTTGTTTAAGCTGTCGCAATATTCACATCGTCTCCAATCGCCATTATTAAGCAGAATTGAGCTGAATTTCAGAACTTAGATTCAACACTCGCAAACCCTAGTTTCATCACACGTCACTGGAAGAAAATCCTACAGATCTTCTGTAGAATCGAAGCAACACTAGAAATGAGGAATGATATTGAATTAGTAATTGAGAGTGGATCGAGTCTCACAGCTCTAATACCATGATGACTGCCATGGAAATGGCATTTGAGTTGGAGCGGAGATGATCTTGAGAGGAAGAGACTAATCTGAGAGAATATGATTCAATGAAATATCAAACTTAAATCTATGTATTCAATGACTGTACACTATGTATATATACATCTCGTCCACAGTGTTAGCTAACTTCTAGAATCTTCTAACTAACCGACTAACTGATGAGCTTAACTAACTGAATAATATTTAACAAACTAACTACTGCTAACTTGACTCTAATTACATCAGCTTGTTAGCTTTAACCATGGTCAGCACTGGTTATGCCTTTTCCTTTCCAATTCTGCACTATTTTTTGCATGAAGCCAACACTTGTAGAAAAAAATGAAAACCTGAATCAAACAGATCATAAGAAAACCTACAAGTTCTTTGACAGCTTGGTTCAGTTTGATATTGAATTTAAAAGAAAAGCTTTCAATAATATTAGTTTAGTTTTGTATTTTCCAAAACACGAACCAGCTCATATAAATATTCATCTTTATAGAGATATGTTTAAAACTTTATAAATCTAAGCCATGTAAAGTTGTAAAAACATATTCATTGTACTTGTTTGAGTTCTTAAAACTATATTGAAGTTATTCTAGTGATATATGTTTTTTCTATCATTTAGCTCTGTTAAGTGTGTATATATATATATATATATATATATATATATATATATATATATATATATATATATATATANTATATATATATATATATATATATATATATATATATATATAAGATTATGTTTGACTTATGAAATTGAATAATTATCATATCTCATGGTAAAATTTATCATATACAAATTTTTCAATTGATTATAAATTCATCAATCTATTCGATTATCGCTAAATATATATTGACATTTGAGATGTTTTAATTTTTAGATTTTGGTAAATTAAATGAATTGAATTTATATTTCACATTGCTATAAAACCGATAAAAATTTGAGCCCAAGCCCATTAATTTGATTTGATTTGATTTGGTTTGTATATTTTGACATAGTGATAGATAATTTCTTTTTCCACGATGGACTATGACAACACTAAAAAACACGTTTTTAGCTACCCCAACATCAAGTCAATAACACAATCACAACAGGAAGTACTAGTAATTCATATTTTTTATTTTATTTTGTATTTTATCGATTATATATTATTGAAACTTATTTATTTTTAATTTGATATACATACTAATAGAAGCAACCGCTTTTTGATTGGTTGGATGTCTATGATCATGTATAATAGTAACATTAGTTTGGAATAACCAATGACTAATTTCATCATTTGACATTTTGACTTAGTATTGAAATAACTAGTCATGTGTCATGCCTTATTCTTTTAAAGAATAACAAAAAATGACAGGTATATTTATCAATTTCTAATGATGCAATATCATCCTTATAATAATGGTTATTGTTATTTAACTCCTTTTAAGGTTCAATGGCAAGAAACCTCCACCTCAAACCCTGAGGTTGTTGGTCTGAATCATCAAGAAATTAAAAAAAATGGAGAACTCTTGGGAGGGGTGAAAAAAAAGTCTTGGAATTGGCATTAATTTTTAGGAGTATCAATCTTCAGAAAAATTAATCCTTGGAAACTTGGTCGTGTTCCCGTGTTCCTCATATAACAAATACTGCGTACTAAAATACTTTGATCAACCTACAAAGTTAAATTAGGATATGGGTTAGAAATGAAAAATTAAAGAGTTCCAGCAAGTTGAGAAGAACTAAAGAAGCACTAGATTGGGAAATGCTTGCTCTTGCCTTAAAATATTACTTCTCGTTCAGTTTCAAAATTTTGATTGTCCTTTTTCTTCTAAAGTGAAGGCCAAATATAGAATATAGGCGGCTTTTGTTGGGATTAAATATTGGTGAATTGAAAATGGAGGGAAGGAAACGGAGGGAAAGCGGGCTCCATTTTACATTGGAAAGAGCAAGTGTCCCTCATTGGTGGTGGAAAGAAAAGTGAATGTGTTTATATTGAGAAACCACTTCTGTTATACCTCATGTTTTCGTACGTAAAGGTACGCCATAAGTAATTTGATGAAAGCTCGGAAATGAGATATTACATCCCGTATTTTCGTACGTTAAAGTTTCGTCGTAAGTTAATCAACGTAAGTTCTGGAATGGGATTATTTTGAGATTATAAGCATTATGCTATTTCAAACAAGTGATGAGTAAATTCGTGAAGGGGTGAGGGTAAGCGAATCGAAGAAAATGAATTTCATCGAAGTTTGATATTTTGGGATAAAACGGCCCGAGCTAAAATACCCGTTATTTATGGACTAGTACCATACAAGGTACCACATTGCCATGATAGTAAGGTGTATAAGGTGTGTTAAAAGTAAATAGTATTATAAATAATTTGAGATAATTCTTAATTATGTGGATAATCGAATAATTATTGATTTTAGTGGGAGATTAACAATTAGTTAATATGATTGGTGGTTAATTATTAGATAAGGATATCATCCTTAACGTGGCAGCAAGCCACCTAAGATATATGACTCTTAAGTCATTATGGGTTATCTAGCAAAGTTAAGAATTAAGGGTGTGTGGTTAAGCCACCACATGGAGTGGGGCCCACACCCATTCAAATATAAGGTTTTTCTAATTCAAGGGAGTGACATATCTTTCAAACAATTCATGGAAAAGTCTCTAAAGTACGGTACAATTCTAAGAAAATGACTCTAAGGTACGGATCTTCAAAAATTCAACAAAGATTTCATTGCTTCTTAAGCAACGTGAGATTTTGTGATTTTAAGGGAGTACGGTGCAATCTTTCTCAAGAATATCATACGGATTTTTCCTTATTTCGATCCGCCATTACGTGTTGTTGTACTTGACGTGTGTTAAATGGATTGTCAAGAGAATCAGCTCAGGTATGTTAAGGCTATCCCTTCTTTCTTTTTGGCATGATCAATACGATACAAACGAAACGAGCTAATGCACAACTTTCATAAATGATTCTATTCATAGAAATACTAGAGGTTCCTATGTTCTTGATTCCTCATATGTCTTATTATTCTATCGTCTGTTCATGGGTCTCAGAAAATACGTAAGTTGGTAAAGTTTATTTCATGATATTAATCAGAGGCATAATGGTCTTATGACGTTCCAAGAGATTTTATTGACGTACTTCTCATGCATTGCATTCATTTATACATATACATTGACCCATGACCAGATGACGTTATATACGCGTATATATATATATATATATATATATATATATATATATATATATATATATATATATATATATATATATATATATATATATGTATATATATATATATATATATATGTATATATATATACGTATATGGGATATGGAAAAAGGTTACGGCATTATATACGCACCACCACATGATCAGCTGGTATACGTTGATGATTTGCCCACAGTGGTTGAGATGATATGATGGGATGCCCTCAGCGGTTTGATGACGTTATGTACGCATAATGGTATGACATTTATATGCATATGCATGGCATTATACATATTAATGATTCACAAAGTTATTCAGGCTTACATGTTGATTCTTTTACTCCATGTTTCTCTCGTGTCAATTATTTACTGATTTTCATTCCTTACATACTCGGTACACTATTTGTACTGACGTCCCTTTTTCCTGGGGACGCTGTGTTTCATGCCCGCAGGTCCCGATAGACAGGTCAAGAGTCCTCCAAGTAGGCTATCAACTCAGCGGAAGGTGTTAGTGTGCTCCATTTGCTTCGGAGTTGCTTGTTTGGTCAGTACGATTAGTACATGTATTGATTGGTATAGCGGGGCCCTGTCCCAACTTTTATGGTATTAATCTACTCTTAGAGGTTTATAGACATATGTCATGTATATAAAAGATTGTATGGACTTGTCCCTATGTTCAGTATACGAGTGATTATTTTGGCCTTATAGGCCCGTACTCATATGTATAAGTCAGTATATGAGGTTGGGTCGTTTTATGTCGAGTGTTCCATCATGTTTTATTCTTGTTACCTCATACGGCCCTTCTGGCCCATTTACCCATGTTGATGTAATGAGAAAGATACGTTACGTTGGTAGTCAGTTGAGTAAGGCACCGGGTGCCCGTCGCGGCCCATCGGTTTGGGTCGTGACAAAAGTGGTATCAGAGTAGTTCTGTCCTAGGGAGTCTACAAGTCGTGTCTAGTAGAGTCTTGTTTATGGGTGTATCGTGCACCACACTTATAAGCGGGAGGCTACAGGGTATTCAAGACTGTCACTCTTCCTTCTTACTCTAGATTGTGCGGTAGAGCTCAGTTGTAAGAACTCAATTTCCTAAACTCTATCTTATTCGTAATACGATGATACATACATCAAG